GATGCTAGAATTGAGGACAAAAATTGGGAAAATTATGAAATACTGGGACTTGCAGATTGAAGTTGAGCACTTATGAAAAAAGAAATCCATTGTTATATCAATCATAATTGATATATAAAGGAATTCCTTGATATTTGGAAATATTGAATTTATTAGACCTCAACACCCTAATTTTACAAAAAAAAAAAAACCAAACCCCACTCTGTTAGGAACTGCCTATATTCTTCAATACTACCTTAATAATTCTTAGTCCTTGGTTAGGACTTGAGTTATTAAATTACCATCAGTCTTAGACTGTGAATCTAAATGTAGATTACCCACACATCATCATCTTCATCATCATCATAATCACCTCCATGGATAGCCACAACACCCTGTTGTCATGAGGGAGGAGATAATGAAAAATTAGTCATACAGAACTGGGAACAAAATAGTTGAAAAAGTAGTAAAAAATGAGCAGGTTAAAATATTGTGGATTTCCAGATACAAACTGATAAAACCTTGGATCCTAACATACAAGATTTAATTACCCAGAGTTGCCTTGAACTGCAAGATGGGAGCCATATAAATTGAATAAATAAGAACTGTGGTTGACAAGAAGAAAATGCAGATAACTGATGTTGAAGTACGAGGAGATAGTAGAATAGAAGACAAAAAATGGAGAAGATCACAAGATCTGAAAACTGAAGCTGAAAGCTTATGGCATAAAATGACCAAGATGGCACCAGGGATTATTCGCACACTGAGTGCCATACTAAAAAGTCTTGGACGGCACTTAGAAAATCTGTGCATTGACAAAATTTCCATCTGTCAATTGCAAAAGGCCAGAGTGCTTGGGTTTCCACATGTACCACACTGAAACAATATCACATCCTAGGTTGTTGGGAAGCATGTGATGCATATTAAGGCTTACACCAGCTAAAGAACTGGCAGCTGTGACTTCACATTGCTGTGAACAGATAATAAAATATGCTTTTGAGGCATCAGAAGCAAGTATGTCAGTTGCACATTTAGGCAAAAATATATTCAGCTCTGCACCATAAGATGGAAGACTTATCACTGTCTCAGTTGGGTTCTCAAAAAATGATGGAGAGAAGAAAGGCATGAAGACAGGTGGGGGTTTCAAGAGATGACTTCTAGATCTATAGACATATTTCAAAGGAATGAGCCTCTTGACTAGGTAGGTAAGAAAAATACATAACTTGTCTCACAAACTTTACTTTCAAAACAGCAACAATCAGGCAGTTCCAGGGAGTTCGATAAACTTCATGTTCTTGGGCCTTCCAAGGGCCATCCCAAAGTACTGGTGGGTTGGGATGAAGAGGAAGATTTGAAGATTTTTAATAAGAGGAAATTGCCCATAATTTATATAAACAGGGTGGAGAAACCTTAGAACTTAGGGTTATCCAAGCAAATCAGGTGATGGGTCATTCAGAAGAAAGAGGGAAAAAACATGAAATCTATTGATCCATTATAAGGATTTTTTTTTAAATGATATAAATTCTTGGTAAAGGAATTACTATAGTCATAATGTTTTTTGAAGCATGAAACATTCAGCCACTAGATCAGAATTTCTCAACCTCAGTAAATTAAAGATGTGTGGACTTCAACTCCCAGAATTCCCCAGCCAGTACAGCCTCATATCTTTTAAGTTGCTGAGACTGAGAAACATTGCACTAGGTTAGGGGTAGGCAACCTTGGCTCTTTTATGACTTCAACTCCCAGAATTCCTGAGCCAGCTTGGAGCTGAACTCCACAAGTCATAAAAGAGCCAAGGTTGCCTACCCCTGCACTAGGTACACTAGTCTAGTAGAGTTAGGTAAAGAAAACTAATTTCCTGCAGAACTTTGCAAGAGTTAGACATTTTATTTTTGCTTATTTTATTTAAAAAAAAAATCTACTCCTCCAGATCATCAAGAACCCACTTCTAATGGCTTTTTAAAAAAAATATTTGTCTTTGGAAAAGCAATGTCAGGGAGAGTGGAGCAAATAAAAGCAATTTCAACCTCCTTAGGTTTCAGAATGCCTCCAGAATATTTCCATATTCACAATGTCCAGTCAAAGGGACAGCCTGCCTGCCTTCATTCAACACCAGCACAGAGCTCATATGAAAACAATCTCTTTCAGGGAGGCTGTGAAAGAAAATATGCTTTTTACCTTTCCTCAAAGAAAATCATTTCAACACCTTCAGCCTAAAAACTCATGAGATAGGCTTGCTGTCTGGCTTGGAAATGTGAAAATACATAAGACTTATCTAGCCTTTCACTACTGGCAATAAAACAGGCAGAGGGTAACACACAACACTTTTCAACACAATTAGTGGTTGTTTGTTCTATCATTATTCACTGAGTATTTGCCCCTGAGTGGCAGAGAGCCATAATTTACTGTTTAGTCCAGGAAGTGTTTTGCGATGCTAAAATATCCCTTCCACTTCCAAAGCTTGCATCAAGTTCTCTTTTCCAGGTATGAGTCTTTGCTTTATCTAAATTCCAGCACAGCGTGTAAAAAAAATGCTTCTTTTTGACTATCAGCATAAAAAAAAAAAAGTAAATTGCCTTGAAACAGTTGCAATCATACAGAGAAGCACAATCCAATATATGTCCATCTTAAGGCATCCCAACTAGTTCCTTATCAAACAGAAAAATATTAGCATGCATTGTTTGCAGCGTAAGGCTGTTGCCTTGTTTTAAATAAATCCTTGGCTCAGTGCAGAATCAATACAACACGTTGTTTCATCCTTCTAGAAAAAGAACTAATAGCTCTAAGCTACCCGTCTTGGTTTTTTTACGATTCTCCCCCTCCCCTCATAAAAGAAACTATCCGGTTTGATTAAATATCTTTGTTTATTATCTTTGTGCTCTGCTGACGGGGGTCTTCTCTCCCCACCCCCACCCCTCCAAAATGGCATCAAAGCAATCAAAATGGTAATGCTTAGCATGAATGGGCCACCAGCCCCTCCTCCTGCCGCCGCCACCACCCCCCCCCCCTCCGCGTTAAAACTCTGCAGACTTTTCTCCATGTTAGGAAGAAACCAACACCCCTTTGTCACAAAATGGAAGCTTCCACTACAAACTGAGCGCGGTGGCAAATTCTGGGCGAGGATCAATCAGGGTTGCGGGGAGGGGGGGGAGGAGGAGGAGGAGGAGGAGAACAGTGGAAATGCTGAGATTTCTAATCCCGGGAACTGAAAACATTCATCCTGCGGGCAACGTTTCCAAACACTTCCGCATGCTTTTTCCAGCTACGAGGATGGAATACAGACACACACCGTACGATCATATAAAACGTTGACCAGATCTTTTATCACAGAAAACATACGACCTAGATCGGGGTTGTTGTTTCTCTCTCTCTCTCTCTCTCTCTCTCTCTCTCTCTCTCTCTCTCTCTCTCTCTCTCTCTCTCTCTCTCCTTTCCCTTCCCTTGATCTCTCCCTTCTTCCCACCCTTTGGGAAGGCGAGCATGGCACGAAAGTCGATCCCGGAATTTTATTTCATTTTCCCCCACCACCCACCACCCTCGCCTTCCTCTTCTTCCTCCTCCTCCTCCTCCTCCTCCTCCTCCTCCTCCTCCCCCTCCCAATTTTTTCGGAAAGGAAGAAAAAGCAAAGACGGGGCGCTGTTCCAAGTTTTGGTGCTGAAACGTCTGCAGCATTCCGGAGGAATCGCGGCATCGATTCCGCCAGAGGACGGGAGAGGAGGAGGAGGAGGAGGAAGGGGGGGGAATAGGGGGGGGGCGATCTGGGCAGGAGGGGAGCCCCGGGGAAAGTTCGCTTGTCCAGGCGGGGGTGGAGGGGTGGGGGGGCAGCGGGAGGTGGTGGGGGGGGTGTGGACATGCATAGGCGGGGGTGG